ACAGAAGAGCATCCCAGGACAAATGGCTGAAATATTGTTATGTAAAACAAAGCCAGTGTTTATTGATTCTTTGCTCCGCGACTCCCCAAAACACATCCCATTTTGTTCTCTTGTTTCCACCAGTTCTTTGCTGAACAGTGATGGATGCGTTGTGCTTTTTTGGACATATTGGACTTGCAATGGGAAAGTGTGAGGATCCAGATGGGAGAGCTTGCACAGCAGAGTGGAAGCAAGGGATTTTGAGACTGGGAAATACATTGGCTATGACAAAAAAAACATAAATATACATTTTTTTTTTCCAAGTATTTCTCCCCTGTTGTTGAAGAGTAATCAATCAGCATGTAGACTGACATCAGTATGGGTAAATCACAGTAGAAGACGAGCAATGACCAAAGATCTTCAAATCAAAAACCTGGCATCGATGACTGCAACTGTAAGTGGAGGCAGTAGCCAATGCGTGTTACCTAAAAGTCTAACAAATACTGAAACCATCTCTAAAAATATGTGGTTTTCAAAGAAAAAAATAAGTGACCAGTACTTAACCTGGTCACAGTGTATGACCCAGAACAAATTAAAACCAGGTCTAAACTAAGCAAAGACTCCACCTCTGTCTGAGAGCACATGGTCTAGCAGACCAACCATCTGATTAAAGCTCTAACAAACGCAATGAGCTACTGTTTTATTTACAACTGTACAGGAACCACACATTAGCATAAATGGATGATTAGACCAGTGATGAATGAAATGACATCCAAAAACAACAAGTGAAGACAGATTCACCATTATTCCATAAAAGCCATTCACATAAAACATTTACACTGGCTCTGAAAACAAAATCAAATCTAAACTTTCAGGCGCTTTTTAGTGTAACCTGAGCCCAAAACTTACCCCTGTATTTCTTTGGTTAGGTAAAACTAATGAAGGAAAACAACCAATTTCCTGACTAGCTTTAGCATTAGCTTTTGCCTAATGAGTTGTTTGGTCATTTCCTTAAAACATGCTGAACATAATGTAGTGTTCTTGGCATTAGCCTCAAGGGCAAAACTCTGGGCTATTTTAACCAAAGTAAGTAACAAGAAACTGACAGAAATAATACAAACCAAATATCCAAGTGTAGGCATTTTCTGGAGATAGTTAGTTATACAAACTGATCACACATGGTGGGACCTGTAGTCCGAGGGGCTACCAGAGTCCCATTAGACGTCTAGACAAAACATCCAAAAAGTTATGGATAGTAAGCTTTCTAAGTGAGGACTACCAGCTGTCTGCAGCATAAACATATCAGTCGAATGATATAAATGATTGAAAACAGGCCAAGAAGAGGGACAGGAGCTATTTTAAGCGCAGTTCATTGACCATAAACAGAAAGGGGGGGTCCAATTTGCAATCAAGAGGCGACAGTGGCTCAGTGCCTACTATGAAAGTGGTGTGTGCATGAATGATTGGTGGTGGTCGGGTCGGAGGGTCAGATGGCACAGATTCACAGTCTCGGTTCAGTCAGTCTGCCCCAGGGAAGCTGTGGCTATAATAGTAGCTTACCTCCATCCAGTATGGTGTGAATGAATAACGACAACAGCATAGCACTTTGAGGGGGTTTGAAAAGTATAAGGCATTATTACTATTATTTTACCAGAATTAAAGTTTAGAAATAGCTACTGCAGTATAGGTGGCCTTGGTAGGAAGAAATGAGATAACCTAAGAATAATGGTCTTTCAGGAAACAGCCTAAACATAATTACAATGTCTTTAATCATGAAAGTACATTAAATTGTACTGAAGATACACAGACAGTAGGGAGTTGGGACAATTAAAAGACTACTCGCACATGACTCTTGGTCATTTATTATAATTACACTAGAGAGGACCATGTCGTGCACTTAGGAGGAGAATGGAGTTTAAACTATTGCCAAAACACACAACAGATGGGAGGCCTTTAAGTCATACCAAATGCACCACACGTTAACAGCTGCTCTAAGCCAATTGAAACAGTGAGTCTTATTATAACATGGACAATCTATCATTTATCACATTAGTTGTATTTGTAAAAATTTAGAGGGATTTGAGGTGACAAGTGGATAAGTGGATGTACAGACAGACAAGCTATTAAATGAAGGGGCGATCTGCCATATGTTGTGGGAATGCATTCAATAAAGTGACTAAGCCCAAAAGATATGTTCAAGATGCGGAGACAGGAAGGTGACCCAGTTTCATTCAAAAATTCCCTGCGGTTTCAATCTCTGTGCTTTGTTAGCCCCATACTGACTGTCACTCCTCATCTTGCTTTTCTTGCACACATAGCACTGATGAGGCAAGGTTTAAGATGTGTCGATAGGTTATATTTATTTTGGCTGATGTTAAATTATCTGCAATGCTATGCTATGCTAGATAGAACAATGTATGAATGAATCAAAGTCCTCTGTGTTGTTGCAGGGATGAATACATTTACAACATTGTGACATGTTAAAGGCATAATCACTATCATAAAGTTGTTCTCCCAAAGGTGGAGGAGTGTTTTTCCACTCAGTGTCCCCCTCTACTCCCAAAACTCTGCAGTGACATATGATTTTGTTATGCTGAGCCAGAGGAAACCATGCACTGTAAACCTTGACAACACACTAGTGACCTTTTGATGTTCATAAGAATACCTTTGATTTCCTGAGCGTCCCATCAAAATCAGGCAGCACTACACAAGTCCCACAGCACAAAACGAAAGGAAATATGGCTTCGGTGGAAGGAGGGAGATTGAGCTAGGGAACAAGATGACGACTAGATATTATAAACTAAATGAGGTGATGCTTGATGGATAAGCTGTAAAGTCACTTTCTATATCCATACCCCCCCAAAGAAGCACTGATGGTTTGTAGATCAAGACTATGCGATAATGCTGAATCGGTCTAATGATTTCTAGGGAAAAAAGAAGAAAGACATTTGGACAAAAGACACATTGATTACTGCTAAAATCATTAAAGACATGAGTTCAACAAGGATACAGTACCTGGCAACACTGTCATACACCGTTGGCTGGAAAACCCCACAGCCATGAAAATGAATTATGTTTCTGAATAGACATTCCGGCAAACAGATGGACACACAAGCTCTTAGACTCTGGGGTAAAGTTTTTTTTTTTTTTTTTTTTACATTTTGTAATTATGTAATGTATTCACCCTACTTTCACTTGAGAGATTTTTGATTAAAAATATACTTTTTCAGTCACTAAACGAGTAAAAGCAGCAATATTAAAAAAAAAAAAAGTTTCTTGCCACACTGCACACATTTGTTATATTATGTAATAGAGCCTGGGCCTTTTCTTACTGTTGTTTCAAGCGAGAGAGTACGAGCATTCCTCATGAACCACAATGACGTCTTGTGGAAGAAGCATGGAAACTGAATATGAAGAAAAAAAAGATGAGGAGAGAAGAAGAAAAGATGAAGAGAGAAGTAGATCAGAGCAGTCAGAGAACTCTTGCTAAATCTAAAGTTGGAGTGCTAACTAGAGCAGTATGTGTCTACGGAGTCCCCAGTGATGCACATAAATGAGAAACAGCAGAATTACATAGAGTACATATACATCCATCTATGGATATACATGGATGTACAGAGGTTTCCTGGCTTTATCTGACCCTCCTGTTGCAATAATACATCTGAAACACATAGTTGGGCTTCTACTATTCAGGTTGTATTTAACAATTCAAAAGAAATGTGTAAGTAATTCAGTTTTCACCAAAACTTCACTCAGTAGGTTTTCAGGCATGTTCGGGCTCAGGCTCTACTGGCTCTCTTTAAATGTTAAGCTAATTACCTTCCTTTTTTGTTAGTCCTTGCTTAGAGTACTATTAATACTATTAATACTAATGCTACAAGTTAAGTAATGGTATAGTCCTAAGACGTGGTCCTATAGCTCTAGTTTGAACATGGTGTAATCTTTTTATAGTCTGGTGGTAATGGTAATCATAGATCTGGTGGTAATCTGAATGCAAATATATTGTAAGGCAGTACTTGGTGTGATTGAAAAATGCTGAAGTATGTTGTCTATATTTTGGTAACAGCAGAAGTAGGCCACAGACAGGTATATAAAAGAGTCAGATTAAGGAAAATGTTTAAGTGCCAGTGCATGTAAGATCAGTAGAATAACCCTATATTTAAGATGGTTGCATGTTTCTAATAAATCTTAAATGAAACACAGACGACCTGGTGGACTTCGCTGTAAATTCCAGTTGGATGAATGAAGCAGGATTCACAGGGGGAGCTCATTTGTGCTGCCTCGGAGGGGACATGGAGAGTATGAGGTCAATTTGTTCTGAGCCGAAAGCTATAAACAGGCAGCGCTGTTTCAGGGGAGGCTATCTACACTTATTCTTATGATATATCCACTCACAGCTCAAGTGCTTAGCATCCAGAGACTGAAGATGTAAATCACTAGGAATTTATCAGTTTGTTTAAGAGCTATGAAGAGGGGGCTGTTTGAATATTTAAGTAAACACAGCCATTTATCAAGGCCTGGTTGGAAAAAAACAAAACAATGAAGGCTAATTGGATAATAAGATGTAATATTAATATTGCATTTTTAATATCAGAATTTTAATAAACACAACATATAGCATAATAACAAATTTTCAAATATTCGGCAAAACTGTAGCTCTTTCTTGTAACATGAAGTACGTCTGCCAGGACACAAAGCAGGCCTTCCACTTTGGGCTGGATTAAAAAAGTAATCTTTCAGTCCATAAACAGCTCCATGTGAAACAATGAGCTGACGAATGTGCTACTGGAGTCAGAGTGAACCATTTTCTAAACAGTTGCTGATGGTCTGTGTATTTGTCATTTGTAACGTCAAATACTATTTGATTAAGTCATGTGGTACTAATTGCATGCACTCAGGCGAGCCTAATAAACACTGAATGTGTTTACATGAACATTTCTGACTAAAATTCTTTCTGTGTGTTTTCAGTGAGGCCTGGTACTGGAGTAGCCCTGTAGTATCCGTCCTGAGCAGCAGCAGAGATGCAGGGGCTGATGTGGGCTCTGTGCTCCCTGCTCTGCCTCTCCATTTGGGATCAAAGTTACTGCCGGACCTCCAGGGAAGCCCACAGGAGCAGGGAGCCATCGCTGCAACGAAGGAAACGAGCTCCCGCAGATCCTGATGCTAAAAAATGCTCCTATACATTCCTGGTGCCTGAGCAGAGGATCACAGGTCCGCAAAGTTATTCTTCGGCTTTAGTTTGAGCCATATTTCTGTCTGTGTTTGACTCACTCTCATTTCCCTGTACAAACTCCCTAATATTTTATATCTGTCAACAGGCCCGATCTGTGCCAGCACCTCCGGCCCGGAGCCAGACAAGGACCGCGTGACCCGTATGGACATTGCAGATGTGCGGGAAGTGCTCAGCAAACAGCGGCGTGAGATCGAGACACTGCAGCTGGTGGTGGACGTGGATGGGAACTTGGTGAATGAGATGAAGCTTCTCAGGAAGGAGAGCAGGAACATGAACTCCAGGGTGACCCAGCTCTACATGCAGCTGCTACATGAGATCATCCGCAAACGGGACAACTCTTTGGAACTGGCCCAGCTGGAGAACCGCGTCCTGAACGTGACCTCAGAGATGATGCGGCTCGCCTCCCGCTATAAGGATCTGGAGGCCCGCTACGCCAACATGGCTGCTGTGGTCAACAACCAGTCTGTGCTCATCACTGCACTGGAGGAGCAGTGTATGAGGACCATAGGCCGCGGTGAGCTGCCTGTTGTCCCACCGCTGGTCCAGGTGGTGCCCCAGAACATACCTGTCAATCACCGCATCAACAACGAGATACAGAGAGTCAACAGCAACAACAGGGCCTTCCCCCGAGGTTCCCGAATGAACTCTCCCACTGCAAGTCCTTTAGGAGACAATCCAGCTCCAGACGGCACCCTCACCTCTGATGGTACATCCCGACTCAACTCACACAGTCATCAACAATGAGCAATTACACATTTTTACACTAATATGAAAACAATTAGTTAAACATCTTGGCTCATTTTTGGTGCCATCTGGTGAATTGAAGTAGCAGTGATATCATGCATTCCTTTGAATCCTCCTTGGAAAGACAACATATGCACCAAATCTTAAAAATGTGGGGAAAAAATCTCATTGAACACCATTTCAATCACTACGGCAGCACAAGAGCTCCAAGTGTAATATGTATGAAAAACCCAGACAGTATGGATCCCAGACTATGACAACAAAACTATGATATATTGTTATTATAAGGCCTTCACATCTGTGGAATATCATGCTCAACGTGAAATCAATTTCCAAGGCAGTGGCTAGCTCCTGAATAACTTGGGGGTAACTGTATTTTGACTGGCGATTGCACTATAGCAGAATATGTTGACAGTATGTGCACATTATTCACAAACTGACAACTTAAAAACAAAAAAAAAGGGAAAGTGATAGGCATAAATCAATGCGTTTAGTCTGCGATAAATATCCAATAACATTTACAAGCTGCGAAGTTACACAGTGTTTCATTGTCCACCAGTTTGTCTTACAAATGATGAGCTTCAGATTGCTGTTAGCATCGCTAGCCATGTCTCAATTTTTATAGTAAACAAACTTTCCCTGTTCAACTTCATTCAATAAACTAACAGGTCAGACCACCCTTCTGCAACATGAAAACATTGGTCTTGTTGTAACCAATACACAGTTCGTAAAAACATGGCTTCTTGTCTACAGCTGAAATATCGCTGTTCCTTTTGTCGAGTTACAAATTGGGTAATGGGTCAAAGTTTGCCACAGGCTACTTAGGCCTGACACAGTACAGGTTCACAAACTATAAATAAACAAGTCTAACCACAATATGGAACAAACTACCCTTTTAGAGTCATTATTGCTCTAAGGGTTGAACTTTTACACCAAGACATCTTACATATGTGACAGGAAAGAGACACACTGACCCAGGGACCTCATCAGTTGTTAGTACAGAAGGAATGTTCTTGAAAAATAAGCCGTTTTTGGATGTCGGCTTTGGGGTTATACACTTAGACACTGTGTGCTTCTAGACTCAGCTGAGAAAGACAACTTCTATAATGCATAGGGTCTCTCCCGTATACAAAGCCAGTGTTCATACCACTTAATGATCACACAAGGGAAACAGAGGAAATGTAGTGACATGCAAGATCTTGCTGCTAATGATGCTGTGCTATGATAATCTTATAGTACAGCTGTTCAGTATTAGAAATTGATGTTAACTGGAATTAAGTCCATTGCTGCATATTTTGATAGTAATGACGTGGGAGATTATTGTTGCATCTGGACAAAAAAGATCTACTTTAAAGGATGGAGTTAGAATGGAATCATAATCATCTAATAATTTGATTAAAACTCCAAATTCTTAGTTATAATACACAGAACTACATCTGCAATACATTGTGTTTTTTGTTTAATTTCCACAAAAGCTGCATGTTTTCTGACTGTGGAAGAGTTGAACAATGCATCTAAAAAGGAAACATTTTCTGGAGAATGTAACCGCAATGATACAGCCATTTAAACATCAGTCTTTTGTGCTGTCTGCAGCTTCGAAAATGATGATGAGCTTAGCATATGCAGTTAAAAAGTGCACATCATAAAAAAGAAGGAATAGCATGCAATGTTAAAAGCAATTAGTGTTTAGTGTGTTTATATCTGCTATGAAAATGAAGTGTTTATAGCTGCTTTGAGATTCTTGCAAATTTAATGTTATGGCCAAATGAGCTATGTTCAATCTAACAGAACTACAACAAGTAAATTTGTGGTCAGGACTAGGTTATTCAGTTTGGCTCAGGTATAAGTTTGTTTGACCTCAGTTTTAGACCTTATTCAATGTGCTTAGATTAGTAAACTAACAGTTAAAATATGATAAATTGATGGATTTTCCATTGGTCAAATAATCCATTTTTGTGAAGCCCCCTTTTAGGCTTTTTGCTTTTAGTGTATTGGGTTTCATACTGTATTTATTCTTTAATATTTCACAATATTTAAACTCAGTTGTTGAATACTGCATCATGTCTGTATGGATCTTGTAACTCCTTTGTAATCTTTGTAATGCCCTCCACTTGGTTAGGTCCATTCAAAGACTGCTACCAGGTGCGTCAGGCGGGGTACAGCACCAGTGGGATGTACCTGTTGAAGACTGAGGGCAGCGAGCGGCTCATTCAGGCCTGGTGTGAACACAGCCTGGACAACGGGGGCTGGACGGTGCTACAGCGCAGGAAAGATGGCTCTGTGAACTTCTTCAGAAACTGGGATAACTACAAGGCATGTAAACACGAAAATAGTCTATATAGCACACTCTTTACACCCCATAAAAATAAAAATAAACACTCAATACTGTGTAATAAGCTAAATGAAATCACAGAACCAGTTAAAAATGTACCTAAACCAGTTAAACCAAGACTTCCAATTAATATGGAAAATTAAACAATGTGTAAAAAGGCCAGAATCATGTCAACACCAGAATAAAATCAGAGCAAAGGAGGCCCACAATAAGCAAGTAAGATAAAGCAAGATTACTAGAACTACCACTATATGTCACCAGTGATCTGAATTTATCACCCAGATGTTTATAAAAATAGTGGGATTTAGTCTTACAAACTGAAATCCATCAGATGTGGGTTTAAACACTGGTAAGACATAATCACAGCTTTTGGTATCACATCTCCACAGCTCATTTGGGTGCAAAGTGCGCCAATGTAAACAGCTTGTGACTGTGGATGGCCTCACACTCAAGTTTCAGCCAAAAACCTACACATTAAATACACACAAAAGGCTTTAGTGGGCTTCCTTTTCTCCCAAAGAGGAAATTATACTCCATTTGCTCTTAGTCCCTGGTTAGACTTTGAAGTAATAAAACTGAAATGAAGACCCACAAGATGGAATTACAAAACAGCTAACACTAATATTTGGTAGACTGTGGTTTGAATCTTAAAAGCTGTGGGACTGTCAGTCACCGCCAAAACTACTTAAACTCATTTCACAAACTCAGTGGATCAGTGTATCACTGCTTCTGGCACTGGCTGCTAGCTGCATAAACTGCATTTGATCTCACTTTACAACACCATCTGTGATGTTGTCAATACACCTGTGAGACACCAACGATAAAGACATTTTGATTTCCAACAAGTACAGCCAAAACAAACCAATTTCAGAATCCTTGTCTAAAAATTTAAAACTGGGCTAAACTAATAATTAAGCTTTAATTCAATTGTGCCCGATAAAACAAATATTAACGCTAGGCCTGTCACAATAATCGATTTATTGTTCAATATAGGAAAGCTCAAATGATATATTTTTGGGATCAGTATTTATTGTGAGTACTTTTTCTTTGCAAAAGAGGGGAAATCTTTGTTATACAAGACCCTCATTTGGCTTTTTTTTTGCTAATTTATTTGCCATTTATTTCATGCTCTTTTAATGCTACCGTCTATTTAAAAATGTTTTATTGGGATTAAATTGTGTCAGTAACATAAAACAGATCCAATATTAATGTTTATCGCAGTGTATCTCTATAGCAATATATCGGGCTCCAAAATGTGTTATTGTAACGAGCCTCATGACTGCTATACATGACTGCCATACAAAACATGAATCGCAGTTTTTGGCATTACAGATGAGTTATAACATTACAGCCACCCACATTATGATGATGGTTCACCGCATCGACATTATCAAAGTTATTTACTTCATTTGACAGTGTTTATAAACGTATGCCTGATCAGTCTATAACTGCAATACAAAAAGTTACATCTCAAGTGAGTTTTCCACAGTGAAATCATATTCACATCACTCCTTCCTACTGCTTGTGTCTTTTGGCAAACATCGTATTTGGCTAACCGCAGTGTAAGTGCTAAACCCAGGTGTCGATTGCCTGTAATGCCGTTTATGCTTCATTGACTTTTTCTTACCAACAGAAAGGATTTGGCAACATTGACGGGGAGCACTGGCTGGGACTAGACAATATCTATAACTTGGCCAAACAAGGCGACTATAGGCTGATGATTGAGCTGGAGGACTGGACAGGAAAGAAGGTCTATGCGGAGTACAGCAGTTTCCGTTTGGAGTCGGAGAGTGAGGGATACCGGCTCAGACTTGGAACGTACCAGGGCAACGCGGGAGACTCTTTCACCAGCAACAATGGGAAACAGTTCACCACACTGGACAGGGATAAAGACGCGTTTACTGGTGAGTAATGACATTATAGTATGTCCGATATATAGATTTTATATGTAGATTTTATAAATTTCCAAAAGCTCTTGTTTTTTAAAAAAAAGCTACACATATCACTTTGTGTTTGATATAATGTAATGTAATCATAATGTATTAATTAATTATATCTTTTCTTTAGGTAACTGCGCTCACTTCCATAAGGGTGGCTGGTGGTACAATGCCTGTGGTCAAACCAACCTGAATGGGGTCTGGTACAGCGGAGGGGTCTACCGCAGCAAGTTTCAGGACGGAATCTTCTGGGCTGAATACGGGGGTGGATACTACTCTCTCAAATCGGTTCGCCTCATGATAAGACCAATCGACTAAAACTGATAAGGAATCATTTGGAAGTAAACAGCTATAGGACATTTGTAACAATCATCAGCACATTTATCGTATAAACTAAAGATTCTCAGAGACAGGAGCAGGCCTACAAACACCAAAGATACAACTTTGACTCTAACCCAAATGGAGACTAATGGCTGCATCCTAGTAATAAAAACTGCTTTCCAGATTCAAAACAACAATGGGTCATCAAGATTCTGTAGAACTAAGGCAGTTTGCAATTTGCAGTAAAAGGGAAAATAATTTTTGAAAGACAATCTTCTGAGCAGCTAATTGTGGATATTGCTAATGGTTCGTAATAGTTGCGTATATGTAAAGTTGTACGTCCACCAATATGTCTCCATGTCCACCATTGTATACTGCGTTGTGGGAAAGACACTTCCACAATGACTATGTATGAATGAGCGTGTGATAACCCCATTTGCATTTGTTTTGCCTGATAATGTTGGAACATTTGTGCACTCATGAACTATGATCATGCAAAAATATGTATTTTTAGCCAAGGTTTTATGGCAGAGGTGCCATAAGTATGTAAATATGTGGCTTTAATTTCAGTTAATTTAAGAGGTGTTCATCTGCTCAGGCCAAATGTTCACTGATGTGTTGCTCTGCCATTTCTGTTATTTATCAATGTATTTATGGGTAATGTAGTTCTGGAGATTCCTCGCATACACCTCTGCAATGTATTATTTTAAACCATTAAATGCAATAGAGCACTCTTCACAGAAATACAAAAGCATTGGAAGAAGGGGTACACACCAAAAGTCCTGATAAAAGAAATGTCTAATTAAATTCCTTGTTCAATATTGATGAGTTTCTTTTTTACTGATTATACAGCGCAGTCAAGCAAAATTACTGTTTTTAGCCTTCTCATGAAATTTGTCAAGCATGGCTATAAAGTTAAATTGAAAAGTGTAGCAGAGGAATTGGCTCACAAAAGTAATTTGTTTGCAAAGAGAGACAAGGAGAAAAGACTTATAATGAATAATCTGAGGTTAAACCAGGGAAATCAAGTAGAAAGGTTATAAAAATGGAAGTTATGAGGGCAAAGTTGAGCTTACATAAAATGTTTTTCTTCTTCTCTGGAAAACATGGAGATGTCAAATTTATTGTTACTGTTTAGGGGCTTACTTTCTCTGCTGTAGATTAAAACCAGCAGTCAGGCATAGAAAATACAGAATTCCCAATTTATTATGTCAACCCAGCTCATCTGAACCAACCATAAAACACAAGAGTGAAACAAGGCTGACGGGATGTTAAATGTTTTCCATTACACAACCACTGTCCAGATTAAACCACAAAACTAAAAGTAGAGACACTTTTGGACTTTTGTGAAGAAATATGGGCCACAATATTGTGTAATGAAAAACATAAAACAACATAACAGGCCAACTTTTCGATGAAAATTTGACATATGGGTCATTTTTTCTTCATTATCTTTTAATCTTGACTCCTCCTTAACAAAAAAGGCAACGGAGAAACTCTCCAATGTATCACCACCATCATCATAAATTATTCAGGTATGAGTTTTAAAACTTCTGTTTCTGTTTCTGGACCAGCCATTAGAAGAACATCTACAAATCATGTTTTTCTTTCTTTATTGCAACTTCTTTTTAATTTATCCAACTTTCTTCAAAAATGTTCATAAACCTATCCCAATATTTAACAACTCATTACTAATTTACAGAAATGGCATTAGTTATACTCCATACTACTGCAATGCTATGTTGATAAGAATTATAAGGACTGAAAGTGAATGCATTTTGTCTCAATGGAGTGATACTTTTCAGTGGGCTCTTTGTCTTGACATGATTGGCGTAAAAACAGACACAAGTTCATCTGAGCATAAAACAGGCGGGTAGTGTGAGGGGAACAGACAGGAGGGAGCTGTGTGTGCTAGGTTTGGTCTAATGGTGGTCACACAATGTCCCCCATACACACTGCTTTGAACAAATGCAACAGTGTGGAAAAACCAAAATGCAGTAACTGTGCAGCGGACACAGGGAACTTTCTGCTACCTTGTTATCAAGAGATAATCTAAATGTAGAAATTATATAGCAACATGTCTATAAATAAATAACATATACAAAAGGGTTTATGTTCAGGGACCTCCTTACATTTGACTGTATGTTCTAATGCTGTAGTACTAGAGATTTGAAAAAACATAAATAAAAGTATCAAGTATCAAGCTTGCACTGGGAAGGCCATTAACTAAAACCCTAACACCACTAGCTGAATATCATTTGGGCAATAATGTGATTTAAGTTTTCAGTATCCTTCAAGCCATAACCTGATTTCAACACGCCTACATTGTCTAACTGAGATGATGGCGAGAATAAATTGTGTTAATATGAAAGTTGTGTGTAATGTGTAGTGATCATGGGTTTATAATAAATGGTCCTAATTTTCCATTTGATTATTTCTGGTCTTCATACATATAAACTGCCTCTTGGCCATAGGGAAGAACGTTATATCACCATATGCAAGAATCTGAAAACAGCAGATTAAAACAAAATTACTTTGTGTTACAGCCTGAAAAAGGTTCTGCTGCATAAGGGAACTTTTCCCCTCACCAATGGATGACTCTTTCAAGCCAAACGTATCAGACTACGCCTCTTTGTTTACTCAGAGGCACAGAAGAGATGCTCTGGACCAGTGCTCCAACTCATTCTGTGTGGTGTTAGAGGGATTAATGTTCAAGGGCAGAGTTGGACACAATGTGATGATTGGCCTCCTGTGTGCCAATGCCAACTTGGCTCAGTTCATCAGCAAGGATTTGTTTCTAGAGGCACAATAGCACGAATTGCTCAAGCTTAAGTATTACGAGCACAGGATTACAATAGTCTTAACAAACATACATCTGTCAAACACCAAAGGATGAAGATTCTTGGATTCTTCGACAGAGACACCAACATAGCCAAAGCTAATAAGGCCACTGTTCAGCCTGAACTACAAATTCTTCTGGGATACTGTCATTACTTCCATTATAAAGCGTGACAAACAAAATAGTTACTTAAAAATCCTAAAACACTCCCAGACCTTTTTGATTTGCGTTTGATCTGATATTTGTTTGTGTAAACAACAACGCTGAAATCACATGGCTATAGCACTGAAGATACGAGCCAGATGGTTGTAAAAACAAGGAAGCGAGGAACATAAAGTCATTCTGCCATGAACAAGGAAAAAAGCAACAGATGTGAACGTATTCATGTTTTCTGTTAAATAACTGTGTCAAAATGTGGTGATATTCTCTGCTCTACTAAAATAGTATCTAAAACAAGCAATGTTCAAGACAAGAGCAGCTCAAGAACATCAAATGTATCAACTGTTTATCTATTCAAAATAAATCAAATGCAAATGGACATCCAAACAGGAAATTGCTCTAAGCATGGAGATGGATAAGGCTTTCCAAGTTTTACCCAGGATATTCTTTTTGACAAATATGTGAGTTTTGAATTGGCACAAAGATTAGAAAGTTGTTTTGATTTTTTTAATTGAAAGCAGAAACATGTCAATTAAGAGCATGCCCTCCTTACCCAGGTATGGTATACAGGCGACCATGCTCTGACTGCTGATGTAATCTCTGAGCCTTTTGTAGTTGTCCTCTTTAGACATCAGATAGTCAAGCCGGTCAAACGTTGCCTTGTCCTTCCGACTGAGTAACTATAGGGGAAAACAAGAAAATTCAGCAAAATGGAGCCATTTTCTTTATGTATGTTTTGGCCCATTTCTCATCTCTGAGGCAGGTGTACTACATCTTGGCCAGAAAGAGTTGACGGTCTAAAGATTCCCCTGTGATTTTGTGGACCCAAGAAATTCTCCCCATTACCTCAGAGCATTATTATGTTATTATATAAGGTCTGCGTCTACAATAAAATGCCTTTGCTGCTTCACACAAAGCACATACTACTGTTCCTACTTCCTAACTTTAAAATATCATACATTTGGAGGCCAATTGTGTATCCAAGTACATCCAAATAACTCTGATTACTAAATGCAAAAGAAAGTTCATTATGTTAAATTAGAAGAGAGGGGGTGGGATTAAATAAGTTTTCTTCTTCCCACTCTTTTTAGGCACATTTTTTGTTTGTCGTTTGTTTTCTTTTAAGATTGCACTAACATCAATACGGATAATACTCTGTTCCATTCTAAAAAAGTGTAAAATGCTTACTTGCCCCAAAATAAATACATACATGAAAATGTGACAATGTCTTTGGTTCAATTGCGACAATTTAAACATTTCGCTCTCAGATTGAACTTTTTTGTTTACTTTTTCTCAGAATATCAGAATATATTTTTGTATAAAACTAGTATTCTGTCACTCAACATATGAAAACCTTCTTTTGTGATACTTACCGCCCATGTTTTTGTGAGTCTGAAGATTGGTGCACTTTGTAATGCTGAAACCACAGCCATTACTGCATGGAGATTGTTCATGTCACACAATTTCTGCAAAAGCAAATACATTAAATTATTATTTTTAACTCCTGAAACCAAATATTAAATTGTAATGTAATTTGTCAGTGTCATGTACCTTGGCAGTGCGAATGTAAAGACTCAACACCTCCGCCCTGATCTTGAGTGTCTGTGCATGGAGGATCTCTCGAACCACCCAGAAACTGGTCTAGAAAAAAACACAGACAAATAACAATTACCACTCCAAGAACATTCCCAAAGGCAACCAAAGTGTACAGCAAGGCAGCCATTGTTTTTGTTCAAATTCATTCTACCAAAAACCTGATCTGGAGCTTGTTTAGCCTTCTTCAAAGCAGAAAGTGGATTTTAGGAATGTTGAGATAGACAGGGAGATGGGCCTTGTTAAATCTCTGGACTTTGAGCTGAAAGCCAAGCAAATCTGGCTTGAAACTAAACAATGCAGAGCAGAGGAGGAAGACTTTTAATGGGAAAACTGCAATTTAAGATTTTAAATTTGATAATTTTGTTTTAATAAAAAGACACATGCTCCTTTGAAAATTGGTGTCATGAAAATTAGGAATAAGGAAATACATTGCCTCCAACAGGGCAGGTACGATAACAGTAACAAACAGAATGAAAATTAGGCAAATAAACTAAAGTTTGTACACAGCAAAAAACAAAAGCTCCTATTGAAGCATGACGTATGAAGTAAATAAGTTTATTTGGTGTACAATCTACACTATGTAATTCAAAGGGATTTACACATCAAAAAAGGCACAAAATCATTATACAAACAGAATATAAATAATTAATAAAAAATACAAAAATTGTAGAACAGGGGAAGACAACATGTTGACATATTGTGAAGCATATACTGTATGAAAGATTAAGAGAAAACTTTGAAATGAGCTCTAGGGGAAAAGGGTCAAGAAGAACACTAAACTGATTAACCAGCAGATAAGCCCTACGGCCTCTCATATGTCAGCAGGGACAGGAGTGTGTGGAGGTATGTCTGAGGATTCGTCCAGACGGGGAGCTGATGCTGGAAATCGGAGTCCTTGGGGAAAATGTTGGAAAACGAAAGGTCTGATTACACAGAGACACGCAGGGAAACATCAGTGAATCAATCTGCGTGAGCTCTAGGGAGGGACGAGATGGAAACAGAAAAGAAAAGATGTAATGGGAAGGGATTTTAGCTTTAAGAAAGATTACAAAACCAACAGCCAGATGTGAGCAGTGAACTAAGCAAGTAGCATTAGCACAAGTTTTTATACATTATTTTACATGTCACCCAAAACAGGTATTAACTTCAGATAGTCACTTTGGTTACATGGCTGTTATAGTTAATTATAGCAATCAGAAAACAAATTATACAAAAATATTTATAATCAGAAGATCATTGAAGTAACAATAGATGTACTTGAGAAAATCAGTTGTCCATTTTGCCCATTATTGCCAACAGCTGTCTGCATATTGAAAGCATGTGAATGTTTAGAGTTTTTCTTTATGACCAGATTAATTAGTTTTTCTTCTGTTATTGGGTCTTTCCAGAGTTCTTTGATTTAAGTTTGTGCCTGGAAAGGTCTTGTGTATAAATGATCTGTGGGTACGAGTGTCAGCCTCCTTCCTGGAAACAGACTTCAGGTTTGTTTTGGTTCCAGAGAAGTGGTAGGGAGGCAGCTAGAAAGACGAATTCTTCTTATTCATCAACCTAGCCTCTTGCATGTCATCTTTTCAAACACACACTAATACAGGCATCTCAAGCAAAACAAAGCCACGTGTGTCTAATTTCTACAATGTACAAAGACCAGTCTGTAGAGATAATGAATGAGTGGTGAAATTAGACAGACAACTAAGTTATGATGACAGGGAACTTTGGCTGTCACCAGCTATGTTTGCATTATACCATATACCCACAAAAATAAAATGTGTTATTAACAAGTAGGTTTAGCAATTTTAGAAAAGAAAGTTTTAGGTGGTTCTGTATCTGTATCACACACCAACACATTCATAGAAGCACTAATATAAAATGCCAGAAGACTTTTTAAGTCGTGCTTTCTGGGACTATTACATACCATTGTAGGTTAAGACCAGAGCAATGGAAGAGGTCTGGGATACTTTAAGTCAATAAACCACATCAGTTTTTGAAACAAAGCCTGTCTCTCACATTCCCAATACCAGAGGGCCCATAGCTCCACGAGTCCCTCCATCTGCTCTGGCTCCACTGCAGCAGCATGATGAGATCACTCCACAAGGATGGCAGCGCTCCACTTATGAACACTCTGCTGCCTACAAGTGTCTGTGGGTCTGTGCCGTTTAAGCACCGGGCTATGAACATCAACTATGAACATCAACTATGAACATCAACTATGAACATCAACGAGACCCGAGATCACTGCTTTTCACAGGATTGAATGTAAGAAAATCTACAGCTGCCTACAGGCCAGGTATTTTTATCATGTTAGGAATAGTCATCTTGTTTCAAAGTATGTTTGCATTGTTCCCTGATTTCAAGATAAGCTTTACAACTCTCCAGAACACTGGATACACTCCTCCAACAAACACCCACACTGGTGGGGGAGTCCCTGGTGCACAAACTTATTGTTTATCAAGCTGTGGTGCATGACAACAATCATGGTTGGTGGGTTTAAGTCATGATTTTGTTCAGGAGTGGGCATACTGTTGTGAACTTAAGCCTTGTGGTATAAGCCTTGCGTCATTAGGTGGGTAATGATTTGATGTGCTGTGAAAAGTCTGAGAACTACTTTGCTTGCCAATTAGCAAAACCTAAAAAGGCTGCACTAGTGTGGTTATCCCATCAAGTGTAAAGAGTATAGAACTGCTTAATACTCTGGAACAAACACTTCTATTTTAGCTGCGATTTATTAGTATCACTGTGATGTGTTGTTTTGTTTTAGCACTTATCTTCATGTTACTAAGTGATAATGATTTACAATAACAGTCACTTCACTGCGCTTTATGTAATCTGCTTACTGCTCTCAGCTTTGGCCAAATACGAAAGTTAATTCCCCGAAACGAATCCCTCTCAGTCTTCCAGAGTGCAGTGCCAGGAGCACAACCTTGTGAGCAGATAGCACTTTATCCCATGCAGGCAAGTTGTTTTCTGGGATCATAGACTCTCTATCCAAGTTATTATTTAAAAGTCATTTTCTATGGCTGCCAACAGCTGCCAACAGCTGAGCATCTTGATCTACTGTTGCTCATGCACATAGCATGGAGTTTCCAGGGCTGCTCATTTCCACTTGATCGTCAAAAATTTAGTCTGTAGGGTCCTAAACCACAACATGGCAGAGACACAAATTGCCCCTTACATCGCTGCCCACAATTTCCTGTTGATGTTTGAGTACATTAAAATGAGCCTGTAGCAGAGAAGATCTCCAATCTCTGTTTTTATTATGAAATATCATAAACAAATAATGAATAAAACACAAGTCAATTATGAAGGAAATGCCAGGGACATCATTCTTACATAACAAAGTAAGACTGCATTGTACTGAAAAATAGTATGGGATATTCAACAATAAAAAAATTGTGTTAGTGGCACAGATTACAATATGGCAAGATAGATTAGGTTATAATAATAACTAGACAATCTTGTTTAAAGATGAGATTTTGATGCTGACTAAGGAGAAACATATTCTGTATTTATACATCTTGATATATTCAACTGCTATTTATATAGATACAGTGCCTAGAACAATGAATGATTGTCACTGAAAATGAACAGGTCATTTACTTCAGTCTAAATGTACATCTTTTTCTGTTTTCTATTTTGACATATGGATTATTAATACCAGAAATAAATATTAGCTGCCACAATCTTTCTATTAGGGCTATGCTTTGGTACTTTGAGACAGTAAACATGATAGAAAGATGAGCTGCTCACTCGACTGCTGGCTAAAGCTTTAAACCTTTTACAGTGCACAGGGACATGGAGGAGAGAGGTGATTAAAATGTGTGAACGTGTCTCACCTGGTTAAATCTGCGCGTGAAGGCCACAACGTTTGGGGCAGAGCTGTGCTTCTCCTTCTTGTTCCAGCCACAACTCGACAGCTCCTAAAAAAAGTCAAGCGTTAGAGACACATAATAAAATCCAAAACACAAACATTTACTAACTATATTATTAGTTGTTGTCAGATTACATAGTTCTATGTCACAAATGGAGGCAGAAATAGTATATTGTATTTTCATTAAAATAATTACACCTACACTACCAGCCTTATTTTTCCAACCACAAGATAAAATTGCATATCAACAACAGTAATTTTCCTGCCCCCATCACAATTAAACATCAGCAGAAGACTGGAAAGCCAACATGTATTCACACGAGAAAACTGTGGGAAGAAAAGATTAAATGCAATGATAATTTTGCACAGATTTACTAATGACAGAAGCATATTATCAGTGGTTTTGGTCTCAGCTTTGCAAGATGGAGTATCCAATTAATTGAATTAATACTCAATTTGAGACAGGTTCCAGATGAAGTTCCATCCTCTGATTGATTTGGCTCATCAGCTGTTATTTACCAATTCATCTCTCTTTAATTATGGTGTTTTCTAAGGACACAGAAATACCATGTCACAAATAGCAGCGGTATTCTCAGAAACTAAGAGGACACTTCAAATACATTTTATAACCAGGTACTAGTGAAGTAATAGGACAGAGATCAAGCTAAGCACACATTCTAGTTGCACCATCAAAAGTTTTAACATTTTTTTCATCTTAGCATTTTAATCATCTTCCATAAACTCAGTGCTTCAAGTCAGGGCCACCTCTGTGCACCTCTGAAAATACAATCTTAGCCATGTCAAATTAATATAATACAAAAGAGCATTCAAGATTCAATAACTGCTTCAGTGCTGAAATCTGAACCCCCTATGTAGTCCTTGTGAAAACCAGGCTGGACTCTGGCCTTATGTGCACTCCTTACAAATGAGCTCTGGAGCAGACCACATAGACTTAGCAAAGGGGAACCCAGAGCCTCCTTTGGCCTTTGCAGACAGCTCAGGGGCCAGCGACATGCACAGAACTGCTGGAAAAATGTTGCACAAGCTCAATTTTGTCTCCCTGCTCACCCAGACGACTTAGTATGACAACTGCCTCTGTGACTCAAGCCACATCAGGACGGGTCTAACCAAACATATGTCAGAATGTGTCTGCTCGTTCAGGACCAAACAGCTCACCAGGGTTTAAAGACAGATTATCAAATGCAGATGGGAACAGAGGAAAGAAGGAGAAAGAGGAAGATTATGTTGGAAAAACTGCATATTTATATGTGGAACAAAAGATTGTGTGTGCAGTGGAACATTAATAAAATGTGGGGAAATTGGTATTTAATTGAATTCGCACTGGGACAGTAAGATACCAAAAATGAAATTTAATATAGGTTAGATTAAAATACTTCAATAAGGGATGAGAGGCAATTTGGAGTGTAAACTGTATTAAAAGAATAGTATTAGTGGGATTGTTGAATGCATGTATATGTTTTCCAAGATCAATAACAATGTACTTCGCCAAATAATGCACTTTTAATTAGAGCTTTTGCAGCCAAAGGGAAAATATAAACTCCTAGATTCAGGCAAAGTGAGAAAAGATTGATGTCTAAAAAGGGCAGAACATGTGACTTTTCAACAACTCGATGGCCAGGACATAAAGCCTAGCCATCTACTACACAAGGTTTATTTAAAAGAAGATCTCTTAAAATAAGTATTTCCAATTTTCTTGTGTCAATCATCTCACTCAACCAGACTGATCTGTAACAAAACAGTCAAGCACTCAGTCGACCGCCCAGGCACCGCATGTCCTCAGTCTCCAATGTTCACCAGTTTAAAACACTAATATTTGAAAATAGCTGTTCACAAGTTTGTTGATGTTTGTTTGGAAAGTGAAATATTTCAGCATAAGATAAAAGTGGACAAGATCAGACATCAACAGCAATGTTACAAAATAAATTGATTTAAAAAAAAAAAAAAAAAGGTTAAAAAGTCTATTAGGCCTTAGTAACTTTGTGTGGACAGTAAATTCATCCTTGTGAAATAAGACCAAATATTTGTGTATATTCTTAGCCATTGCTTTGCATCTTGGCAGATTTATTCCTTGGCAATAGCATACAGCATTTACCACTAATCTCAATGATGGGCTCCACATTTTCTATTGCACAGGGGCCAATGCTTACTTTCTCTTGTTTAGTACCTTTCACTGTGTTCTTCCATCATTTGTTCTGAGGCAGTTACTTACCTTTTAGTCACTCCAGGAACTATTATGGTTTTATTGTCTCTAGTAGGTTATACAAACCACACTTAAAGCTAAGAGTTGTGCTGAGAAAAGCTGTGGCAAGGCAGTTCTGCACTTTTTAATACTGTAAAAAAAAAAAAAAAAAAAAGGAGCAGTAAAAAGCCTGCTAGGCCAAACCACAGGAAAGCCGTCATCTCCACATGTGGGTCTGGCACATTTTTTCATTCAAATTAGGAAGAAGACAGTGTACTTCTAACTTTAGTATTACAATTAAATAACTGCCAAACTTATGTCAAGCAAGCAGTCAATTAAATCTACTAAATCTTATCATTGACATCAGCAAGTTTAACATACGATGTTAATTTAGTGATTATGTATTCAGCATTTGTTTTTAAAAAGACAGCAGACAGTGAGTGGTATTTTCGAAAAGCAGTGCACAGTTGTAACTGACTTGATCTCAAATTGAAATGACCTCAACTCGAAACGCCAGTTCAATTCGTTTAGTTTTTATCTCTGAAGAAAATGAAAGTGTTTTTGCCTTTCAGACAATGTTAGACAAAAATAGGAGCAAAGCCAGGACAGGAAAAACTGATATAGATGAGAGGAGTGAGGAGAAGGATGGAGAGGGCAGCCAGGGTAGCACAGTGTTTCAGAGATGAGACTGGATAAATAATAGTGGGATGTTCTGTATTAGTAAATCTGTCCAGAGCTTTACAGGCAAACTGTTCTGGACAGGCCAACAGCCGCTGACACAGATGAATGTTTCTGCTACACCAGTGGAAAAGATGGGACACTGGGAAATAACTTACAAAGTGGTTATAAAACGCACCGTTTCTGTATCAGGCATATAGGCTAAAAAATGTGTTGTTATTGTCACGTTTCTGTGTGCATTTAATGATATTATTTCATTTTGAATCTTTTAATTCAATGATGTACCCAAAGAATTTTGAAAGACTACTCCAAGTAATATATTATTCATATGTTAACATGTACTTTTACTGAGTTTAAATTTTGAGGCCTTTATCCGCTATAAAAAAAAGGCAATGAAATGGATAGACGCAGACCACAGATTTCATTATTCTGTATGTAGTTCTTAATGCACAAGCCATTTGTAAACAGAGCAACAGACTTTATTCACATTTTACAAAGAGGGGTCTGTGTTTACCATTACGCTGGCGGCGAATGAAAAGTAAATCTATTTGTTTGCTCAACAGCAATCAAGTGTTGTAGCTACAACAGAAGGACGACGTGCCGACTGCACACTCCCACACGAGGCTAGTGGCAAAAACATAAATGGAAATAAAAGCCTCAAATTGAGCATGCTGATTGAGGGTTTTGTAGTTTTGTTGATATTTTTCTTTTGACATGTGAGAAAATGACAATTGGTATAAATTGTTTATATCATGAAGATGGTAAGAAATAAAAACACAAACTTTTGAGTTTTGCTTCATCATTCAATCACTCAAACAGCTTTCAAAATCAGTGTTTAAAATACTACACACTGATAAAGCTCAGAAAGCATTTAGTTTTACATAATAAGGATCATTATATGGTTTGTATAATTATACAGGATGTTTAATATAATATTATTTGGTTATCAATTGCAAAAACAGAAAATGGCTTCAACTGCCAATGGGGTATTATTTAAAAAGCTAGCTTCATTGCTAGTGCTGTCATTATACCAAAATATATAACTTAAGAATTTATAGTTCTCTATTTTTTTTCCTTTTAAAGTAATGAGACAAAGTGATAGATTGAGAGGAGGGTCCATTACGTTGTGGAAATAAATAACATGTGTCTCATAACTTGTCACTTCGCCATTATCAGATACAGATGTGGTCTGGCCTGTAGAAGTGCACTGTGGCTATAGAGCTTCAGGGCTTTAATGATAATTGTTGAAAATTACAAATATCACAACCACAGAAAACATGACAGATTATGAAAACCCAAACTTTGAAACAGGCACTGTTGGTGGTCCATCGGTCACTATTTGAGTCATGGTTACATTTATGTTGTGGCATTGTCCTTTTTGTGGCTAATTAAATTTAAAGTTCAAGTTCAGGAAAGATTTGGATCAACTTGATTGCAAAGGACTGAGATGATCAATTCTCTGCCAACAATTTTAAAAGGGCATTTCTAACCATGTTATTTTTGTGTTTCTTGTCCATACGTCCGCACAACGTTAATGCTCAAATGTATCTTAAGGACAGTCCTAACAGCTCAGAGCCTTACTGTAAATCTAATAAAGTAAAAAAAAAAAAAAACAGGAACATCATAAAACAAGTATTGTCCACAAATATCACATTCAGAGCAGTTATAATGTGTTTACAAAAATAAGGAAGATTTTAACTGTAAACATGTATTCTGCTGGGGAAAACCAAATGGGGGTCTGACTAGGTTCAAGAGATATTGTGAAAAAATATTGGAAATTAAGTCAGTCCAGACATGTAATAAAATGTGAGACAGAGACAGAGCTGTGCAATAATGACAAAAAGACACACATCCGCTTCATGTAGTGTTATGAAAGTGTATTAAGAACCACAAACCACAGCATGGGAAAATGGAAAATGACATCCTGTATAGACCTACAGTGAGCAACATTCAGTTCAGCAATTCTAGAAATTACCGGATGCTCACTGCTCCCAATGAAAGTATAACAAGCTGGATAAGTAATAAAACATAAAATTATGTGAAGGGAAAATGTACAGCTCTTATGTGACTTTTAGAGAAGTCAATGTACAGTTTAATTGCCATCTGAAGCACAGGAAGGACTAGAATCCTGTGATCCTGTTCCTCAATCCTGCAGAGAAAAGTGGCTACCATTCTATACAAGCAGCAATTACTGAATAAAGGGTCACATTTCTATAGTTCTTATCAAAGTGTTTTACATCAAGGAAAGCACAAACCAATGTACGTAATAGACACTGGGGGTGAGGTGGGTTAAGTGTCTTTGCCAAGAAGATGACAAAAGGTTTCATCTGTGGGAGCAAGAATTGCACTACCCACCTGTGAGCTAAGGTTATCTGACCACTTAACCAACAATGTTTATGCAGGGAGTGGGAACTGTACACTTCCCTAAATTGCAGAGGTAAAAGAGTGGTTAGTGCTCTATAAAGACTCATTGTTATGAGTTATATTTGGATGAATGTAATGACTGAATGTGACCAAGATTCAATTCATCTTTTACCAGACTGTCCCCCAAGCCTCTAGTTGCAAAGATCTATACATATGCACAGTTTCTAAATCACCAGAAATTTAAAAAGTAAAAAAAGCAAGCTACTATTACATAACAGTGTCCTTTCTCCTTGACTTGCAGTGTATTTCCCCATTCACAACCAGTCCACAATGTTCTCACTACCTCATCACTAACCTCATCTTTATACGGCACGTTGAGGGTGCTCGGGTTGCAGAATGGGCCTCATGTCAGTAAAAACATTGTTGCACAACACAATGATCTGACCACATTATTTAATATTTTCCAGTTGAGGCAGTGAACAAGGAGCAGTGCACACAGACAGACAGACACACACCTGCGTTTTCCATCAGTGACTGACAGCAATGGAAACTAAAGGCTGTTTTAGTGGTGAGGGCTTAAGGCAACAGCACAGTGCGAGAAAGAAAGGTCTTTACACCCAGAGGCCCCTGCCAGAATCATGTGGGTCAGTCTGTTTTACTCTCAGGGTAATTCTGGGGTTTTCCAGGTTTAATAATGACAAAGACAAAATGACATCCATCTCAACTCATATATCTGCATATTTATAGATTTATATTTAGCTTTTCTTATATAGTATAACAGAAATTGACTTTTTTTAAAGTTTTATTCTTGATTGGACTGCCTAAATGCAAGTACTGTGTAAAAATTCCAGTTAATAAAAGATGACTAGTAACTGGCTAGCAGAACAGTAACAGTAAGTTTGCTTCATCTACCAAAAATGTATATAATGCAAATGCAATTTATGTGAAGTTTACATGGCTTTTTAAATGTGCATCAAGTTACTTAATAACAGGAAACTTAAAAAGACAAAGAATAGGCATAAAATATCTTTAACCCTTCAAGAAGATTAAAAAATCCATCATCGTCTTTTTGGGGTTATCAAGACAATTACCCTCACTCATACCCATCACCACCACTCTGAAATTACCACATGCACTTACCTCGCTTTATGCATTTCATAAACTTCAATAAATGAAGCTGCATTCTTGCCCACCTGACCAGCCCAACCCTCACATGAACCATAATTTTCCAAATTGCTTCCATGGCCCATACATGCATGCATGGATGTTTCATTAGACATAAAGCCCACTTAGTTGGCCAGTCAGTCATACTGTAGGCACTCAAGCCAAACGTGAGCATTGGCCCATTGTAAATCCCCCAGTAGCCTCTGAGTGAACCTGCAGTCAGGGCAGTGGGGCAGAGGGCCAGACAGTAAATGTGACTAAGCCACTCAATAAACACACAGAATTATTGGGACACATTTTTGGGTTAGAAGACATTACATCATTTTATACTAAATCTTTTACTTGAGTACATTATTTGGCTGCAGCAACTTTGTGTTTTTTATCCTTTTCAGATTCTGAACCAAAATCACTTTTATTCAAGCATTTTGCTGCAGACATGCATCATTAAAATTAATTATTAGGATCAAAGAAAAAATACAGTACAGTCCATATTGATTTAAGGATTCATTGCTGGATCAACTCCCACACAACCCAGCCCATACAGAATAGCATTTGACACCAATCAAATATGCAAATGTATCAGACTGATAAACACAGAGATGAAAAATATTCAAGTCAGTTTGAGCCATTTTTGTTCACTCTATAGTTTAGTATGTATCTTTATTGTGTTATAAATATTTTAACTAAGTATTTAAAAAACCTTCCCTGCCTACATTCCTATCACATTTTCCACACATTTTTTTTGAAAAAATAAAGATTTTATGTCCATCAATGAGTAAAAAGTTTGTTAGATCTGATCTAGACAGTGATAAGTGGAGCTTTTAAAGCAGGGGTCAGGTCTACCACACTGCACTAAGCTGTGGTTTTAAACAGTGTTTTCAAGAGACCTCAGTGGCCATCCTTAAACACAACTTACATACGAGCGCTGTCTGCAAGAGCTAAAAAGAACAGAAATCAGACAATGCAAAAAAGTACTACATTCTCTGCAGTAACCAACAAATGGCACTATTACCACAATGACGCAAACATATTCAGCTAAATGTAAAGTGTGTCTTATGTGTAGTGAAATACAGCATATTTGTAGCAAAAAAAGTACTTCTCAATGTATTGATAACAATTTCCAACTTTTTCTCCAGCTTATAATTATTTGATCCAAAAGCTACTCACCTCTGGCTGGATGGCTTTGAATACGGGAGCATCCATAAGTGTGATCTGGCCCTAGACAAATAAAACACAAGTTAAATATTGCGAATTTTACAGTAATTATTTGTTTTGGTAATCATTTTCCAATTCCTTTCATCACTTCTCATCGGTTTGCCCTGAGAAGACAAACAGTGCCCCCTGGTGGCCACAGACTACACATTACTAGAATCAGTGCACTCTCCTTTGTCTGTTCTTTTTCTATTATTTTATACTTTGTTGATTAATAATGAACCACAAAAGCATGCACCTAGTTTGTGAATTTTGTTCACTGATATAAAAAAAAAAATCTTATTTTGGTTTATGAAAATCTGGGCAAAAACATCAAAGACATAATAATTTCTTAATATGCATTGCTCAACCATCACTTCCCACAAATCTTTGCTAAAAGTCAATGTGGTCCCAAGAAGGAGAGTTGTAAGCATAAATATGACCACTTACTGCATATTCTTCGGGAGTGACCTTGAGCACATCGAACACAACGGCGTCAAAACTCTTCTTCAGCTCTGAGCCCTTTTCACTCAGAGACTCTGCGCTGCTGCTCTTCTGGGGAAAGGAAGGTACAGACTGAAGTTTTCTGTGTTTGTGAGAGTAATGCAGAAGATAAGGCGTAATTTATAAATGAACCTGGCTAACCTCAGAGAGAGTGGCAGCGATGGTGGTGATGCCTGATTGGCCATTGGGCAGGTCCATCATTCCCACAACATTGATCTTCAGCGCAGGAGACCTCTCATCGTCCTCAGCAGTAGCAAAACCCACCACTCCCTCTGAAAACATCAACAGGTACAGGGGTGTTGAGAATCAAATATTAACATCAAAACTAATAACTAAGCATATGTATGCTTTATTTTATAAAATTATAAATAAAAGATGCTTAAAATAACCCAGTTTATCTAGTAGTTTTCACCTCTCTGTGGGTGCCATATGGAGCTTTCTGCTTAGGGTGCACAGAGGGCAGACGTGGCTTAGGCTCGGCATTGGGAGCAGATCTACAGTGTAAAAGGTAGAGAGGTAGCTGTCTCTTTTCTTATTGCCAACACTCATAAGATTACACCTTATTCCCAGGCTTCATTCTGTTCTTCTCACTAAAGTATGTAAATAATAAAGACTATAATAGCAGGGTAGTGGTTGACAACCATTTGAATTGCCATACTCACTAGGTACAAATCATAAAAAAGAGAAAGAGAAAAAGAAAGTGAAATACACACCCAAAATTGGTTACCCAAAATACTAAAGAGATGCTAAAAAAAATTCACCAGGTATCGACACTGAAAATATTAAAGGTAATAAGACTGCAAGATCATGAAGTACCATGGTAAGAAACTACCATGTTATTTTATTTAACCTTTTGCTTAAAATGAAAATAGATTTTTGAAAATTGAGTTTGAAATTTGAGTACTATGACAACACAGTTAAAAATACAAGCCAGTAGATTATTAAACTGGTTCAGTGATAAATCTGTTCACAGAATGCATTATATTTCTAATTTGCTTGGAAGGCAATCTTAAAGGAAAGATCAATAACTTCAACTTCTAATATATAGTCATTGTCCCAGTAGTATGCCAGATTATGATAAGAGGACAGAGATTGCACAGTAAGACAATAGGAGGTGCGTTGAATCTTAAAGACCCCAAACGCACTCCTGAGCCCATCTGTCTGAGTCTGCCTCCATGCACTGGCACAAATGACCACCTCTTTAAGATCCATTAACTTCCTCCAACAAGTTGTACACAGACAAACAGCACTACATCACACTAGACTTTCTCACTTACTTTCAGCAGCAGTGAACAACCCGGCACAGGAAAACACATACTGCATAATTTAGCGGAAACAGCTTTGAATGTATTAAATTACTTTTTTATTTTATCAACATTTTACCACTGGATTCTTAACAGTGACTTGCACATTGTATTACCACTCCGACCAAACACAGTTTATCAATGACAAAAAGGATGTAGGAGTAAGAGCCATAAGAGATATTGGCTGAATTAACCTCAAAAATCACATGATCAGGAAATAAATTAAGGTTCCATTAGTGTCATAGCTTTTGAAGCTATACAGCTTTGTCAATTAAAATAAACTGCGAATCCAATAATCAATATTATTTTACTCTTAATGTGAGTAATATATCAAAAGAAAAATCAGTTTACATTAAAAAGGGACAAAATGTTGGCTCAAAGGGAGTTGGGGATACCCTGGTTCCTTGAATCTCCACCAGGTTTGACTACCCCGAATTTAAGATTTTTTAAGACCTTTTTAAGACAACTTAAATGAAAATTAAGACCAACATCATACCCATTATGTGGGTGAAAAACATTACTCACTGCTTTAAATTACAAAAAATACTTGTATTATATCTCATTCAGAACTCATTTATAGTCGTATGCATTGCTTGTAAAATGGCCAAAAAATCATTTATAACATTCTAACAAGACAAACTAACCTTTCACATTATCTTGTCTCACATTGTGCTTCAACCATTTAATGTTTTCAACAACAAACTGTTGCTCTCCAGAAACCAAAGTATCTTTTGCTCTCATACTCCAAATTCAACGTTCATTCACGTTACATGATTTCACGTTGTTGTTTTTTCCTCCCTCCATTTAACATTGCACTGCAGCTGAGAATACAAAAAATAGGCTAATGAAATTTAAGACCTTTGTGAAAAAAATAAGACTTGGACAACATAATTTAAGACTTTTTAAGGCCTTAATTTAGGAACATGAAATTTAAGACCTTTTAAAGACTTTTAAGACCCCGCGGCTAACCTGGGAGCTCTATCCAGTCATACTCAGATGTTGATGTTATTCAATACTACACAATTAAACATGAAATAGTGCACTGCATCATATATTACAGTATCATTTCTCCAAACTTTTAAAAGGACTTACAGGCTGTGTGTCAGATGTGCATAGTGCAGGGTTAAGGTCCGCACGCTTGTGTCCTGCTCAGTCAGGTCCTGTCCTTCTCTTGGTTCCTGCACAAAACACAGAAGAAGAATATTTTACACCACAGCTCAAGCTTTTCACACATTTAGTCAAGCACTTCACAATTAATTACACCACTAAACTTAGAAATAAGGAAGGGTCATGAGAAAATAAGTATTACTCCCATTTTTCCTGGGGCTTATATGAATGCAAACATGTGGGTTACTTGAACAGTTGAACCCCAAGTTTATATAACAAAATAATAATGGTTTTATACAGCAATAATTCAGTGCCACCTGTAACCCTAAAACGCTATTCACAATACCAACTCGCGTGCATTTAGGGTAAACACAGTTAATCAATTCTGCGAGAACAAAAGTAGCTTTCAGTGTCATTTGTTGGCGCATGTTACTTCTGTTGTAATATTTAAGTTGACCAGTAGGTGTCTCACTCGGCTCAAAGATAAACCTAGTACTTGTGATTGACTGCAGACAAATGCAGAATGATCGCAGATTTGGCCTTCAGACGCCACCAGGTATACGCCCACGTCCTCACATCCCCTTGAACACGTTTAAAAAGCTACAAGGATCATTTAGAGTGCATTTAAGCTTTAAACTACGGAATAAAATGTAAGTGTTCCACCATTCAGATCCAAGACTTAAAAGAGTAGAGCATCTCCAACTAAAAACTAGGTGCAGTCAGGACGGATTTGTAGCAGCACTCTCAAATTTAAACCTTTATGGGCCTCTGTCAGTCAGCCACACCTCACACTTCAAAACAACATACAATACTCCACTCCATTACAACCCTTACTGTACAACTAGAGTGCTCCATAGTCCACTGAAAGCTGTAGTTATAACCACACTAAATATGAGCTAAAAGTAGAGTCTAAAATTAAGACGGCTATTAGCTTGTAATGATGTCTACCCACATAAAAATATCTCGAAAAACAGAATTTATCATCAGTGCAAAGTGGGCACATAGAAAATGAAAAGAAATGGCAGTTTGAGTGAATCATCATGTTTGTCTATGAGTTTTTGGAGCAAATTTACGCAAGAAAAGTCAGTTTGAACTAAAGTGCAATTCATGTATGTATTGTAAATGTATGGCTTTCTGTAGCATTGACATTATGTTACTTGAAAAATGCTGAATCAGACTGATCCTTGCAAAGTCATAAAAGCCACCACAGATAATAGAACAGTTTTGTGTTTATTCCTTAATGTTGTGGCATTGCAGAATGGCGTTACTGTCTGGCATTAGCTCACATTTATCAGTGCATCACATAGATAAGACTGGAGGGTTTGGAGGAAGAAGCAGCTTATAGACATGAGCGGGTGGAAAGACTCAAGTCGGAGCACGTCGCGGAGGATGGACCGGTGATCAGTGACTCACGAGAGGTGGCGGTGAATCAGAAACCGTTCGCTCGCCTTCCTCCCGTTTTCCCAGCATGCCTTGCAGCGTTCACACATTCACATGCTGCAGTTCAAACAAAAGAAATGTCTGCAAAACTGGCTCCATCACAAAGGAACAGAGTGTACCAACATGGGCTAAGTACATTTGAGCAGTTCGTATTCATTATAGTGGTCCAAAAACAAAGTTGTCGCCCTTTCCAAGTCTATGGAGCGAACACACAACATAGACAAAAAGGTGGATTTGGAAATAATGAAATGTGCAATATTATATAATTTTAGATGACTGAACAAACTGAACAAATAAAAATGTCAAAACATGTGAAAGGTTTTTGTTTTTAGTAATTTTATGGCCTGTTTATGTTTGAACGTGCAGCAATAGATGAAGTAATTTTCTTTTGCAACACTGAGTTGAAAAATACACACATTCTTTCTACAGTAGATACTCGTATTAGACATATAGCAAACAAACTCACTAACAGACTGTCCCAGGCCTAATCTCATTTAGAGGAGCGAAGGTACACATGTTTACTTTCCACTGCGTCTGTCTTAAGGTGCAAGTCTCTGCTCTGCCTCACACAGAGGATTAGTGTGCTTAGCATGTGTAGCATGTTTGGCTAATGTTTATATGTTTTTACACAAAATGTACTAAAGTCGGCAAGAGGGGAAACACTTGCAGAGACTGAGGTGGAAAAAAGTTGACTTAGATTACATCATTACATTTTTATCAAGAATGAGTTGTAATCTTAAATGATCAGTAGATCATTTGAGTTTTTTTAGTTCATAATTAAATTAAATTATAACCTTTTTAAATACAAATTAGTTACATGTAGCCAGTCACAAGCCACTAACGCAAATATGAAAGCAAATCCTGCTAAATCATGTTAAATAAAAATCAATATTCAAAGTGAAAGCTAGGAGGCAGATTATTTGGAGAGGCAATCGCAGGAGAATCCAAAAGTCTACCTAACTGTAGCCAAGTCTGAAGTTTTTGTCAGTGGAAATGGAGTACTACTCAGTGACTTCAACAGATTGGCTCATGGAGATGTTAACTATAGGCCACACTTCTAAGGAGAAACAATCCCACATCAAACTCAGAGCTAAATGGAGGCCTCTGACTCACTGACAAAATGAGTGACTGTCCTGGGCCTGCGGTTGGTTTAAAAAGGACCGAGTAAACAAATGAGTGTCTTCTTGGTGCCCTACATGCAGAGGGGGGCAGGAGGCAGTGGGGGGGGCAAAAGGCAGAGGGAGGCAGGAGGCAGTAGGACTGGGTGCAGTGTGCACCTCTGCAGATGCAGGGGAGAGTAGGGCTGGGCAATTATTTACAATTTCTTAAATTTTATAGGATATGATAACAATAAAAATGTGAAGATCTTCCTCTGTTCGAAGGGGGAAAAAAAGGGTTAATATCACCAATATCACCCATCCAACAAAGTGGGTCAGTAGAGAGATATGATGTGAGGGAATAGTAGATTTATGTGCTTATGGACATGCATTTGAATAAATTTGACAATCTGGACCAAATATTTTGATCTTGACGGGATAGAGCAGCTCCAGAACTGCAGCTCTGGTTGTTTCTTATAACAAAGGTCCCAATCTGAGTGATGAAGCAGCACCAAGTGATGCAAAAGGTGAGAGTATGATTCAGTGCAAGTGTTAAACTCAAACAGCTAAAGATTTAAGTTTGTCAAAATAAACTCGATTGCAGTTTGGAGTCAGGAGGTCATAAGTCACAGTATGTGGCTAACAATTACAGCATAAAAAAATTTTAGAAATCGTCAAGGGTGTGGTAGCACACAATTCCAAATTTCATAGCATTCTCAAACATATCACAATATACCACCAGCGATATGGCCCAACCAAACTTCTGATTAATTACATTTTACCATTGATAAAATGTGGAACCTGGTCAGTATTTCATTAGCAGCATTGTTCAAAGAAAACCCTGAAGGTACATAAAACACCTACTATGTCAAAGTGCTGCCATTAGGACGTGTCCTGACAAACCTCCGGGGGCCAAAGTATTGATCTGAGCTCTAAGGGAGGGGCCCATCACACTCAGGCTCTAATAACAGCAGGTCGTCCACACCAACACAGAGCTTTCAGCGGATGGGCTGTCCACACCAAGCCCAGGATACGTGTGGTTGTGTGCGTGCATGTGTGTGCGAAAGAGGGTACATGACTAACAGCCTCTTCACACCGTCACTTAACATGCCGCTGATGTACGAGCCCCACTGAAGGTCAATCAGTGTGAGGTCTAATCTGGGACAGACTAGAAAAAGAGCAGCGTTACCACAGAGCTGAGTGAGAAACTTGCTTATGAAATGTACCTTTTCATAAACAATAATTTTCAAAACGTGTCCATTTAATATACTCTCAAAGTCAAGTCACCTCTACAAAATCTTTTACAAGGTAATATTAATCTCAGACACAGAAAAGCTATTTGAAAATAACAACCAGTGACAGTTTTACCAGTCTCCCACTTACGAATGTGTCTGGCAGAGAACATTTTGTCCTCCATGTTGATGGGTTAATGAACAGAACATTTTTGCATTGCGACTGTGGGGCGTACTAACTTCCTGCAGTGGTCAGTACCAGGTGATAATCAAGGCTATACCAGAAGAATGTATCACGATTAACATTTTTGAGCAGAAAATGGTGCTTTTCTCTAATGTAAAGCTTTTGAACAAGCACATCATGTCCATACTAAAACATTGCACGTTTCTTGATCTTTTTTATCTTTCCTAATACTATCAGAAGTACAGGTATATATTTTACATTGACCATTATCTTGCCCTCCACACTGCTTACTCTGCTTTTGCCGAGTAAATAAATAAATGTCACTGTAAGCGGTTTCACTGAATCAATAGGTCAAAAGCCAGAGGAGTAACACTCCTTTTGACAGTCACCTGCTGTGCTCTTGTCCATTGACTCATGAGCTCATGAATATGTATATGTGACTGGAATACATTTTGTGTAATAGACATCACAAGACATGATGAAACATGACAACATTCTCCAAATCAAAGTAGCAAAACAAAGTGCATGATTTGTGGCAGTCACAAAAATTTATACAATTTTGAACATCATGAGAAAAAAAAAAAGTCATGAGGAGAGGGCAGACAGAGAGTGAAAGATGCTGACTCTTCATGTAACACAGCTGTGGTGTAGTGTGGAACTCATGACATTTGCGGATTCTATTCCTCTTTATGCTCATTAAGCAACAGGAAGAAGAAGGGCCTAGAAGAGTTTAGTCATTAAAATCAAGTCAAAATAAATTTCTGTAACATAAATCGCAAGGTTTAAGTATTATAAGGAAAATGAACAATCGACACCAGCTCATCTTGCAGAACCGAGACATGTCACACACTGGAAACTGCTTTAAAAAGATCTTTTACTTTAACCCTAATTGTGAAATTCCCCTTGATACATTTTAGTGCTGTGGCACCAGTGTGCACTGCGAGTGTGATTGCGCTTTTTTTAGATGCTGTCCTTTACCCTGCTCTGCGCTATAGCTTCACTAATGCAGAGAGACCCTCCAGTGGATAGACCGACCCACTGTTGAGCCGAAACATTGAGCAATGAAATGTAACACTTTGATGTTTTGAAAAGAACTATTAGTAAAACTCGCAACAAAC